AGCAGGGGGCCCAATGTGGGACTTGATCCCAGGACCTAGGGATCATGACCTGAGCCTCAGGCAGACACTTAACGACTGAGCCACCCAGGCGCCCCAAGGATTACTTATTTTAATAAGTAATTCATTCACATGGTTCCGAATTGAAAAGGCAGAAAAGGATTTTGAGGGCAAGTTCTTACTCTGCTTCTGGGCCCTTGACATTGAATTACTGAATTCAGAATATGTTTATGGTTTAGTGGTTCCTAATGTTAAATGTAGAATTACCGTGTAATCCAGCAATTCCACATCTGGGTGTATATGCAAAAGAAAGCAGGACTCAAAGAGATATTTGCACACCCATGTTCAGAGCAGTATTATTCACAGTAACGGAGAAGTGGAAGCAATTCAAGCGATGGATGAATGGTCAACAAAATATGGTGTATCCTACAATGGAATACTATTCAACTCTAAAATGGAATGAAATTGATACACGCTACACCACGGATGAACCTTGAAAACATTACGTTAATTGAAATAAGCCAGTCACAAAATTACAGATATCTTATGAATGAGGGGTTAAATGTTTAACAGGAACAATTTCTTGTACTTAAAGCCACTGAATTGCACATCCAAAAAAGGTTAAAATGGTTAATTTTATGGCATGTACATTTTCTTTTTAAAGATTTTATTTATTTATTTGACAAAGAGAGACACAGTGAGAGAGGGAACACAAGCAGGGGGAGTGGGAGAAGGAGAAGCAGGCTTCCTGCGGAGCAGGGAGCCCGATGTGGGACTCGATCCCAGGACCCCGGGATCATGACCTGAGCCAAAGGCAGATGCCCAGCAACTGAGCCACCCAGGCGCCCTATGGCATGTACATTTTACCGCAATTTAAAAACACACACTTGGGGCGCCTGGGTGGCTCAGTCGGTTAAGCGGCTGCCTTCGGCTCAGGTCATGATCCTGCGGTCCTGGGATCGAGACCCACGTCCGGCTCCCTGCTCAGCGGAGAGCCTGCTTCTCCCTCTCCCTCTGCCTGCCACTCTGCCTACTTGTGCTCTCTATCTCTCTGTCAAATAAATAAATAAAATCTTTAAAAAAATAAAAATAAAAACAAAAATAAAAACACACACTTACGGAGCGCCTACTGTGTGCTGTGCTCTAGGATCTGAGGATTTAGCCATGAACAAAGCACAGGAATCCCTGCCTCCGGGCAGTGGACATAAACCAGATAAATACTAATAAGTGGGTTTTATGATATGTTGGGAGGTGGTAAGTGGTAGGGAGGGAAGAAGTTGGCCAGGTAAGGGGTATGAGGGGCTGGAGTAACTTGTTCTAGGCTCTATCCCCAGCACCCAGGATATTTGTTGCCTATGAGCAGCTGTGTATTGAGGGCTTCCTCCTGTGGCCACAAGAAATCAACGTGCTTCACCCAGCTTCCACATCCCTGGCTTCAGGTGGGTTCTGCCAATGGGGAAGCCTGGCTAGAGACAGAAGTGGGAGACCAAGGAGGGATATCTATTCCTCTACTCCCTCCCTGCTGGCTATAGTGTGGTGTGGGCAGTGGCTGTATCTCTGCGACCACATATTCTGCAAGGAGTGCCTTCTTCATAACTCCAGATCTCAATGAGTTCTGCTCATTCTGTTTCCTGTCCACGCACCTGCGCCCTGGATGTGGTGCCTCCCTGTGGCAGGCAGAGTAACAGACCCCCAAAAATGCCCATGTAGGAACTAATCCCTGGAATCTGTGAATATGTTATGCTTCGTTAGGGAGATGCATAAAAAGGGAGAATTAAACTTGCAGATGGAGGGATGCCTGGGTGGCTGAGTCGCTTAAATGTCTGCCTTCGGCTCAGGTCATGATCCCAGGGTCCTGGGATGGAGTCCCACATGGGGCTCTTCGCTCAGCGCGGAGCCTGCTTCTCCCTCTGCCCCTCCCCCTGCTCATGCGCATGCGCGCTCTCTACTCTCTCACAAATAAATAAAAATCTTTTAAAAAATAAGTGTAAAATTGCAGCTGGAAATTGAGGACGCTAATCAGTTGGCCTTAAGGTAAGAAGATTATCCTGTTGGGCTCAAGGTAATCACAAGGATCTTTAAAAGTGGAAGGGTGGGGGGACACCTGGGTGGCTCAGTCAGTTGAGCGACTGACTCGGTTTTGGTTCAGGTCGTGATCATGAGATTGAGCCCTGTGTCAAGCTCACGCTTAGTGTGGAGTCCGCTTCAGATTCTCTCTGTCCCTCTCCCTCTGCCCCTCTTCCGGCTCTCTCTCTCAAATAAATAAAAATTAAAAATCTTAATTTAAAAAAAAGTGGAAGGGGGAGGCAGAAAAAGAAATCAGAGTGACAGGATATGAGGGCCTATCTTCGCCGTCTTTGAAGATGGAGGAAGGGCCGGGAGCCAAGGAATATGAGCAGCTTCTAGAAGCAGAGCAAGGCAAGGAAATGGATCCCACCCTGAGCTTCCAGAAGGATCACAGCTCTGCCAATGTCCTGATCTTAACCCAGTGAGACTAGTGTCAGGCTTCTGAGCTGCAGAATCGGAAGACAATAAATTTGTGTTGGGCGCCTGGGTGGCTCAGTCGTTCGGCGTCTGCCTTCGGCTCAGGTCATGATCCCAGGGTCCTGGGATCAAGCCCCACCATCAGGCTCCCTGCTCAGCGGGAAGCCTGCTTCTCCCTCTCCCGCTCCCCCTGCTTGTGTTCCCTCTCTTGCTGTGTCTCTGTCAAATAAATAAATAAAATCTTTAAAAAAAAGTATTAAAAAATAAATAAACTTGTGTTGAAGGCACTAAGTTTGCCGTTATGTTACAGCAGCTGTAGAAAACGAATACACTCGACATATATTTGTTGGTTCTCCAACCCGGTTCACATCCCTGACATCAATCCCTTCATTACAGTTTGTTCTCTGAAACCCTTTTGAGTTGAATTGTTTCTCACTTGAGACCCAGCAATCCTGCTTCTGGGAATTCTTCCTACAGGTAGGATGCCTGTGCTTATGGGAAATGGTGCACGAGGGTATTTCTTGCTTGTAAAGAGACTGGAAAACCCCCGAATGAAACCGATGCTGAGATAGGCACACCGCAGAGCTTTCCACACAGGATAGAATGCGCAAGTGCTGATGGACTGATAAAGGAGGGTCTGCAGGTCATATTGTTCGGTGAAAAGAGCAAGATGCATTTCAGAATGTGGAACGTGTTATGTTTTAGATAAAGGAGAGGAGAGGGGATAAGAACGCAATTTAAAAAATAAGATAACACATTCAATTTTACAAAAGGAAACCTTGGAAGGAGTCAGAACAAAGTGTGGGCAGTGGGTTCCCATGGGCTCCTGTGATTGGGGACGGGGAACTGCTTGGGTGGAGGATGAGCAGAGACAGAGCTAGTCCCCCCGAGTGTCTCTTAATAGCATTTGATGTTTTAAATCCTCTGTCTTAGGAGAGCCCACACTAGGGTGAGGGAGGTGAGGCATGAAAGCAAAGAGGGCGCCAAAAAGCTCAGTAACCAAGATAAATACTTTAATGCAATATTTTTTAAAAAGCACAATGTGGGGGGAAAAAAACCACCCATGAACAAAATACTGAAATTTTAAGTAGAGAATCCATAACAGTGCTGTTATATTGGAGCCTGAGGCAAAAGGAAAAACCAGTAATATGGATTCCATCTTTGAAAGCTTTCACAGTAAATAATGAAGTTGCCAATCCTGGATGGATCCTGGATGGGCGAGGTTTACCCAGGGCCTTAAGATGCCTTCCTCCTCCCCAAGCCCTGCAGATCCTGCAGATCTGCGCCTGCCATTCCCACCGTATAAAACCTTTAGGGTATGCCAGCCGGGGCTGCAGCTCACCACTGCCCCCCCGCGGCGGTCAGCCTGCACACAACAGCATCTAGGGCTCTTTGCTTTAGTAGAGGTTTACTGAGCGCCCCCCGAGGGCCAGGGTCCCTCCAAGGTACTGTGAGTACCTCAGGACCACGGAAGACTCAGTTTGTACTCTGGTGGTGCTCACAGCACGAGGGAGAGGACAGCACACAGGTCGGCAAAGCTTGGCACATGGCAGGTGAGGCAAGCCGCCTGGCTGGGCGTGAGGGGCAACTCAGGTGGGCCAAGGAGAGCCCCGGGGAAGAGGTGGCACTGAGCTCTGGCCTAAGGGACAAGCAGCTGCCAGGGGTGGGGTCCCCCGGAAGGGGCAGGCAGAGGGCCTTGCTGCTCGGTTTCATCCTAAACTGATGTCCTTGTTCATCATACTATTCCTTAGGCCCTTTCCTGTGGCCCAATTATTACTTTTTAAAGGAGCCCCACAAGGGCTGCAGGGAAGGGTGTTCGGGGAGAGAGACAGGCACACGCCAAGGCCCACATTTTGAGCATCTGAGTGCCAGGCGCCCTGCTTGCCTGTGGCATGATCTCATTCTAGCACTACCCCCAGGAGAAAGGCACTAACATTACTCATTGTGCAGTGGAGGGGGAGGTAATGTGGAGGCTGAGTAAGTTGCCCAAGGTCACATTGTTAAAGATAAATTTAAAGTGCTCAAAGACCCACAAGGAGGGAGGGGGAGAGAGGGCGAGCAGAGGGGAGGATACGGAGAGACCAGGGCAGATGGTGCAGGCCTTTGGGAGCTACCCAGAGCAAAGACTTTGGGCTTCTACTCAGGGAGGGATGTTATCCTGACTCACGTGTTCATGACTACCCTCTGGTTACTGCCTACTGGGGTCTGATGGGGAAGGGGGGAGAAGGGTAACAGGCTGAGGCGGGCTGCAGGCCAGAGGGGATGGGGATCTGGACCAGGGTGGAGACCATGGATGCAAAGGGCAGTGATCAGAGATGAAAGATGCTCCTGAATGGGTGGTGGCAGGGAGGCTTGGGGGACAAGCCAAGTGGAGGGGAGGGGGCCGAGAACTCCGATGTAAAGGAATCCTGGGGAAGAATGTTCTAGGCAGTGGAACAGCACATACAAGGGCCTAGAATCAGAATAGAGGGAGCTGCCCAGACAGCTGGAGGATAGAGCCTGAGGCATCACAGGCCAGGCCTCCAACACTCACTGGGTTTCCCTCCCACTCCAAGAGAAGAGCTGTGTCGACAGCCCTCGAGACGCCCCCCTGAGCATCTGAAATCCTTTATTGGAAGATCATTGCTGTTTACCATATAGAAGACTTGACAGCAGATGAACAGTGAAAACAGAGCCCATAGTGACTGGAGCAGGCCTCTGGGCTGGAGACCCTCCCCCCACCCCATGGACCAGCCTAGCGACCTCCGCCCCTCCCTGGACCCCCAGGCCTTTGGCATAATGCTGATGGCGGGGGGAGGCGGGGTAGCATCCTGCAGACAGTGAAGCCCCTTGACTCAAAGCAGAGACTTGGATGAGCACTGGAGGTGGGGGTAATGGGGGTGGGGACAGGCCTTCTCCTGGCCCCAGGCTGGGCGGGAGCAGCGAAAAGTGGAGGAAACCAGGAGCTGGGGAGATGGCATCTATTTTTGTTTTCTGAAAAGGGGCACACAGGGGCCTGCAGGCAGGTGGGCAGCAGCTGGGGCGAGTCAGGCGCTGACATCCTTCTTGTCGCCTGGCTTGGGGCCGGCTTCCAGCAAGGGGTCCCCGGGGCCCGCCTCCTCCCCATCCTTGGCCTCGCTGGACTTGGAGTTGGGGACCCAGAGGCCGGAGTCGATGCAGCGCTGCATGTGGTACTTCGCATCCTGTGGGGAGAAGGGTGGTGAGGCCGGGCTGCCCCCCGCCAGGTGGCCCGCCTACCCCCTGCACGTCCTGAAGCCTGCTCACTGCTTATTCTAGACCAGAGCTGTCCAGAGCACTCTGCAATGATGGGAATGGTCTGTAATATGCACTGTCCAACATGGTAGCCACCAGCCACATGTGGCCGCCAAGTCCTTCAAACGTGGCTAGTGCAGGTGAAGAACAGAACCTTACGTTTCACCTAACGTGAACTCAAGTTTAAATAGTGTACATCCAGAATAAAGCTGCATTCCAGTAAAACTTTACTTTTAGAGACAGGCAGTGAGCTTATGAACCACAGGGTGAAGACCCTTGGTCTAGATATCCTTTTTCATGGAAGCTTCTAAAAATCCTGGACCAGGTCCTGCAACCAGACCCATTCCACAGTGTGGCCAACCAGTGAGCCAAGCAGCAGGAATGGGGTCAAACCAAGGTCTATTAAGACACAAGGTCCTGTCTACCAGCACAATCACTGCTCCTAATATTAACAACAGTTAGGGACGCCTGGCTGGTGCAGTCAGTAGAGAATGGGACTCTTGATCTCGGGGTCATGAATTCAAGCCCCATGCTGAGCACAGCGCTTACTTTAAAATACATACGTACATACAACAGCAGCTAATGTTTACTGTGAGCTCAGACCCCCCACCCCACGCATGCTCCAAGTCAGTATCCAGAGAAACTGTGGTTTGATGGGGTAACCAAGGCCAGGGAGGAGCGCCCCTCCCTTGGACAAAGGTGGGGCCAACCTTGTGTGCCCACTAGGCACATAAATGGCCCACAGGGGCGGTGACACTCCATGGCAGGGGACACGCTGAAAGTTCCGGGTTCACTGCTGGGTGTAGTCACATGGTAGGTGCTTGATACGTGTAAACCGGTGTATAGATGCAAAAGCCTCCCCTATTCCTCCCTGAAGCCCACAAGGGACGCTTCTCCCAGCCAAGTAGGGAGCAGGGCTGGAGGGGGAGGACACATCGCTTGCTCAGGAGGCACAGCTCGGCTGGTGGGCGGGCCTGGGGCGCTGTTACTCACGGTGGGGTCCATCTTGCTGATGGCATCTTGGAGCATCTGCACGTCCTTCACGTCAAAGCATTTCTGGAGCTCCTGTGGGTGCAGATGGGCCGGGGGTCAGGGCCTGGGTCCCTGGGGGGGCCCCGCCTGCTGCTGCCCACCCCACCTCCAGGGCAGGGGAGCCGCACCTCAGGGAGAGACTCATAGACTTCAACGGGGTCCAAGCCGCCTGGGCCCAGCCGCTTCTTGCGCTCTTCCTCCTCGTACTCTTTCATGGCCTTCTCGATGCGCAGCTTGGCACGGCCCCGCACGCGCTCCTTGAACGCCTCGAGCTCATCGTTGAAGCCCTCCATGTACTGGCGGTCGGCTGTCTGGAGGGTCAGGGCCGAGAGCCGTTCACTGGGCCGGCCCCAGGACCGGCCCGCTGCAGGCCCGCAGACACTCTGTTGCCTCCGTGCTGACGGATCATGTGCCTGCCTGCCCACCACCACCCCCCCAAACCACAGACCGGCCACGCTCCCCTCCTCCACGTGGGCCTGCAGGCACCTCACACTCAACACGCCTCACTTGAGCTCTGGATCGCTCCGCACGGGCTGCCCTGCCCTCAGTCTCCCCGACCTCAGCACGGGTAGCTCTGTTCTTCCAGGTGCTCAGCTAAGGAACCCCGAAGTGTCCTTGACTCTGTGCCTCACCTGTCTCTTAAATTCTGTCTGGGGGCCGACCACTGGCCCCTCCGCGTCTCTGCCCTCCCGACAGAGCAGGCTCTGATCCCACGGCCGTGAGTCTGAGTGGACATGTGTCCACCCCTCCTGTAGACTGAGGCTGGTGCCCTGGAGAGAGCCACACCCCACCCCACCCCGGCTCCTCAGGGATGCTACCTTGATTTTAGTGAAGAACTGCCGGAAGCAGGCCCGGGGATCCACCTTCAGGCTCTTGGCCAGCTCCAGGATGAACTGCATGACAATGGTCTGGTGGGCCACCTGCTCCATGAGTGCGCATTTCTGCCCAGAGAGAATATAGGTAGGATGTCACCAAGTGGCGGCCTCAGGGAAGGACTCTTCCCCAGTCCCAGGGCAGGCTCCACTCACCTCCTCCACCTCTAGGTCAATGCACCAGATGACTAGGTAGTTGGCCGTCTCCTCACACACCAGATGGACATTGTCTGATAGATACTTCTGGCTGTCGTCCCAGCGGCGGAGCATGCCTACAGAAGGTGTTGGCAAAGTGCTGAAGGGCCCTGGAGGCAGAGGGCCAGCCCCTGTCCTATGCACCGCCCCCCGGTGGGCCCCCTCCAACCGGTGCCCAACTCACCGAAGTGCTTGATCTGTTTCTCGTACTTCTCCACGAAGGTTTTGTGTTTCTGCTCCCTCACCTCCTCCGACTCCTCCTCCGCTTGCTCTGGCTTGGTATTGACCATGCTCTGTGATGGGGCAAGAGGGGGAGTGGGCTGGGGCGAGGCCGCAGGGCGCGTCCAGCACGGCCGGCTGGGCCGAGGCCGCAGTGCCCATCCCTTCCACGGCGGAGGTGGTGACGGTGTCATGAGCATCAGTGTGGCGGGAGCGTGGGTGTGGCACATGTGGCCTCGGACTAGGGCCTTCGGGCAGATCAGAGGGGGGTACCAGTGGGGTGCTTCGTCCACCCTGCCCCACACACCTGTTCCTCCACCCCTTGACCTGAAGAGGCCTCCCCCCGCCAACCCTGCACCTATCTCACCACCAAACACCTCCCGCCCCTGCATGAAGGGGACCCCCCCCCACCCGGCACCCCCCCCCACCTTGCTGAAGCCATCCTTGCTGAGCGTGTCCACATTCCAGGGCATGCTCTTCTCCTTCTTGCGCATCTCCTCCAGTTTCTGCTCCCAGCTCCGCTCCTCCTTGCGCAGCTGCTGAGCCTCGGCCTGCAGCCGCTCCAGCTCCAGTCTGCTGCCCTCGCCCTCGGCCACCTCCAGCTCCTTCAGCTTCCGCTGACACTCAGCCACCTTGCGCCTGCACTCGCGGCAGCCCCTGTCCAGCTCCTCCTTCTCCTTCTGGAACTGTTCCATGCGCTCCACCCGAGCCTGGGGGCAGACACAGCCCTTCAGGCCCAGGACCCCAGCCCCACCCCACCCGGGGCTCCCACCCACTGCACCTGGGATGGCCCCAGGGAATGTCTGCACCACCCTCGGTGGCCTGACTGCCGGCTTCCACCACCACCAGTTTACCTGCGCCCACCTGAGTCTGGGCATGCTCACCGCCCACCCCCCACCGGCCCGCCCACTCAGAACCAGAACCCACCTTGGCATCTACAACACTCAGCAAAAGCCCAAGTCCTATTCGTGACCCACAAGGCCCTGTGGATCTGCCCCCCTCCCTCCAGTCACACTGGCCGCCTCACCTTTCCTTGAACCCACTGCCAGCGTCAGGGCCTTTGCACTGGCTGTTTCTGCAGCCTGGAAAGCTCGCCCTCCACACTTTCCACCCCCCCATGCCACTTACTCCCTCGCATCCTTACCATCTTGGCTCAAATGTCACTTTACAGATGAGGACCCCCCCTGACCACTCTGCTGAAGATGGCAATCTCCCTTTACTCTTGCCTTGTGTCACCTTCCTCCTCAGCACTCATTACCTGCTAACATCTGGTGACAATTATTTACTGTGTTTTCCACGTGTCCCCCTCCCAGGATACTGGCTCCATGGAGGTGGGGATCTGCTCACTCTTGTGTCTCACACACAAGCACACAATAAAGACTCAGGAAACAGTTGTTGGATGAATAAACTGAAATACCAGATGGGGGTCTCAGGCGCCCCCTCCTCCCTGGAGCTGCCCTCAGTGAAACTCGGGTGCCCTTCCCTGCCCAGCGATCTCCTTGAGCCACCTCTGCCCCTAGCTGAGGCCTGCTCACTGACCCTGTTTTTCCCTCCCTCTCTGCTACCCAGTCCTGACTACTTTCACTTCTAGATGTCTCTCCAATTCGCTCCACGCAGAGCACTGCTCCCGGACCACTCCCGAGGCCCCTTCAGCTCTGTCTCCAGGCGTGCACACCTCCTTGAGCCTTAGCTCGGTGCCCACCAGCCTCCTGTGCCCCCTTCCCCAGCTGTTGCTCCCCAGACCTCCTCTTCTGCTGCACCCCAAGCTCAGATGGTGCCCCTTCTCATTCCCCCTCTCGCTTAGGTCCCCACTGGACCCCACCTCACATGGCATGGCCCTGTCTGCTCTCCAGCCCTGCTTGGCTCCATCACCTCCCCTGGCTCTCAGCAGTGCCTGCTCAATCCAGAGCCACTGACTGAGCCCTGAGAGGTGAGCCCACTTTCCATCGCTGCTCCCCCAAGCTAGACTCAGAAGCTGCCAGTCTTTGAAATATCCACATCTGTCTGCAGCCCTCTCTGCCATCCCAGCCTGGAGTGTCTGGGTTCAGATGGGAACCCTGACCCTTACCCCAAGCTGCCCAGATGGCACCAAGGCCCCATGAGGACCTGGGTCCCACTTCCTTCTCCCAACTCTGGGTCCCAGGCAGATGCTAGCCCTCATGGTTCCCCAAATGCACCAGCTCCCTCTTGACTCGCGGCCTCTGCACAGGCTGTTCCTTCCACCTGAAACTCTTCCCCTCACTCCGCCTACTTTGTCTCCAGGTCTCAACTTCAACAGAGCCTCCCCCAAGAGCCCCCATGCTGCATCACTGTGCTCCAAAGGCCCCTTCATGATCCCCAGGTGACATGATAACATGCTGGAGGACAATCTCAGGGCCCCAAATGTGGGGTCATAACCCACAGCCACCAGAGTAAAGGATGGGTGTCCTTGGGTCAATCCCCTAACCTCTAGGGACCTCCGTTTCCTCATCTGTCAAAGGCGACAACCGCACCAACCTCACAGGGTGGCACCAGGAGAAGCAAAGGAGATGAGAAGTTAAAGTCAACAGTCCAGAGCCATGCTGGACGCTCAGCAAGCCCCATTCCCGTGCTGGCAACTGCCATTACCATCCAGGGGGACACTCTCTCTCTCTCTCGGGACGATTCTGGGGCTCAAACAAGAAAATGTACTTCAAGTGTTTAGATCGATTTCCGGCCCCGAGTAAATGCTCAATAACTGGGAGTGGTTGTTACTGCACGGTCACGTCACCCAGCTCCGCCACTTACTGGCAACGTGACCTTGGCTAAGACACTTACTTAAAACTCTCCCAAGCCTCGGCGTTCCTCTTTGGGAAATGGGGCCTCAGGAGTTGCTCCCAGGAAACTGCTTGCAACCCACTACTCAGTACCGAACGCGTTCCACTGTTATCACCATCATCATGGCCACTGCCACCAGAATGGTCTCCCAACTCACTTCTGGGCCTTCCCTGAGGCCGGTATCCCCTGGTTCCAGCACAGAGCCAGGCCCGTGGTGGGTGGGAATTGGGAAACCTGGAGTCTTCACTCACGCCCACAGGACTGCTAGAGTCAATCACGAGTCTCACTTTGCCCATGTGGATAAAGGTCGAGAAGGCCCTTGCCTCGTGGAGAGACAAGAGAAAGAGGCCCTGGGCTCTGCCACTTTCCCTTCTCCACGATGGGCCTGTGTTGCCCTGGAGGCTCCCTGCTGCCTTGTGAGGGGGCTCTCTGGGGTTGGCATTATCGCTGGCCTCAGGGGGCAGCAGGAAGCTACCACCCTGCTGGTTCCTGCTGGGCGGCCACCCAGCTTTTCTCAGTGTCCTCTGAGTGGCCGCCAGGGAGACTGAAGCTAAATAAAGGCCTCCCAGGGCCTGCCCAGCTCAGGCTTTACACCTCTGGGAGGGGTGGCTTGAGCAGACGCCCCGGCAGGGAGCGGGGGTCCCCACCCCCTGCCTTACAGATAGAAAACCTGAGGCTCGGGGCGCCTGGGTGGCTCAGCTGTTAAGCGTCTGCCTTCGGCTCAGGTCATGATCCCAGGGTCCTGGGATCGAGCCCCGCATCGGGCTCCCTGCTCAGCGGGAAGCCTGCTTCTCCCTCTCCCACTCCCCTGCTTGTGTTCCCTCTCTCGCTGTGTCTCTCTCTGTCACATAAATAAAACCTTAACAAAGAAAAAGAAAGAAAGAAACCCTGAGGCTCCCAGAACCTCAGTGCCATCCAGTTCGACTAAAGGAATCACAAGAAACCAGTAACATCAGCTCTTATCAGCACAGGGAGCAGGGGGCTGGGAAGACTCCCTTGTCCCTTTCTGATACCTCTGGAATTTTTCTTTCCCAGAAGCACAGATTACCTGAATAATAACAATAATAACAACTAAAGTTTACAGAGAGCTTATCACATGCCAGATGCCATCTAACCCAAAGACATCACACACATTAAATAAATTAGATAACCCCTCAGAAGAACTCTTATCGGATAGATACCCTTAATATTCCCGGCTGGGGAAACAGAGAAACATAAAGATCAAACAAGTCGCTGGAGGTCATCCATTAAGTCAGCGATTCCGGAGCCAGGACTGGAACCTAGATGTGCAGGCCTGTGCTCAGAAGCTCACCAGGCTACCTTCTTATTAATCCCACCTCCCGCTCCCATATGCTTACTCCCTCCCAGGCCCTGAGCCAATTTCTTGTCGGGCCTAATCTCATTTCATTCTCAGGAAGGTCTCTAAGGGCAGGGAGTAAAAGCAGTATGTGGTAGGGTTGGGATTAGAACCCAAGCTTGCCGAACCGAAGCTGGTGCTGGAGATGCTTATCTTCCCTCCCCCACCCCCACCCTCACTAGGCTCCACTACAGCCCCAGGGTCCTCAGCAGGACAGGAAAGGGTTCTGTGCCAGGAGGAAGGAAGGCGTGGTGGGGAGGACTCTGCAGGAGACGGGGCGCTGGCTTCCCACCCAGCAGGACCAAAATGTTCGCCATACAGCTGTATAGATTAACCTCTTTATGTGACAGAAGTAGGTGTTCCCAAGAATAATCTTTTTAGAGCTCTGCGCAGGTCTCAAGCATTTCATAATAAAATGTTACACACGGCAAGAAATGGAAGTGCTAGAACTTTCTTCTTACACTCAGTGGCTTGCCTGGCAGGTATGCTACCCAAGAGATTGCTGCTTTAGGGTAAGGGATGGAAATGGGACTGGAGACCAGATGCAAGGACTAGACAACACAGGACCGGGGAAGGGCCCTTCTAGGAGGTTCTGGGTAAATGACTGGGAGTTGCCATATGCGAGGGTGGGGTGAGGAATTCCTAACTGGAAGGTTCTGTGAGATAGCTCGCCCTCAGTGTGAGAGTATAACATACACATGTGGGGGTAGGAGCTCTGATTTGGGGGAGCAAGAGGTTAGAGTATTAGGATTTATGAGAGCTCTTCTGCTGGCCTGTGAGCACTGCTGGGCAGGGAGAGAGGCTGGAGGGTTCTGGGATCTGGATTTGGGGGCAAATAGGTAACAGAAGGGGCCGTAAATCTGGAATCAAATTGGGAGGGTCCCTAGTGAGAGCAGGGACAGTCTGGGTGTCTGAGAGCAGCAGACTGAGCTGGGGTCAGGAGAAAGGCCGGGTGGGTTTGGGTGCTGGACTGGAGTTGGTATAAGACCTTCCAAGGCTGCCAGAGGCTCCTACAGGAAACTGTTGGGGGTGGGTGGTGCCTGGCCTGCAATACCAAGGAGGGGCAGGGGCTCTAGACCGGCCGGAAGCCCTGCACGGTAGGGTTTCCTGGAATAATGGGAAATGGGGTCCACAGTAGGTGACGCTAAAGAGTGGCTGGAATTGGAAGGCTCCGTCAGGGTCGAACCAGTGATTTGGTTTGGAGGGAAAATGGGTTCCAAAACATCAGTCCTGAATGAGAATGAAGGCCCTGGTGGAGCACCGGTCTATATTCTAGGGAAGGGGTCCCCGGTATGGGTTGGACTCCCAAGCCAGGAACAGAAATCTCAGGGGAGGGCAGAGTTCCTTGTTCTGTTGGGAGGAGAAGCCAGATCTCTGGATCTGAATGGGAATCCCTGTCAAGAACTAGGGAGGAAGATCTCAGAATAAATTCAAAGTACTGAGGACTCTAGGATTTGGGGAGTGGCGGATGGTATATCCAGGATCAGAAATGCCTCCCAGAATAGGATCAGGGTCCAGACTCTGAGGCAGAGTTTTGCGTGTAAGTGGAAGGTCCCAGAAGGGATTGAGAGGACACCCCCAAAGCTTATCTTAGCAACTTAGACTCGGAGAAAGGTGCCCTAGGGGTCAACTGGGAGTTCCATGCAGAAATCGGAGGGGAGGCCCGGGATCTCTGGTAGGGACTCAGCGCCCTGGCAGTTCTGGGCTCTGGAGTTGAATCGAGGAACCCCTCAAGCGATACTGAAAGTCCAGACTACGCGTTGGGAACCCCAGGTGTCAATGTGGGGGTCCCTGGCAGTACCAGGGGTCCGAACTCTGGAGCGGAGTCCCGGGCGGGGGGGGCGGGGGGGGGAAGGGGATGGGCACGCGCATTCTACCTGGTGCCGCCAGCGGAAGAGGCTGGCCGTGTCGATGTTGGGGTGCGTCTCGTCCTCATCGTCAGACACCTCGATGTGGTCCCACACGCTATAGTCCACCATCTTGCCTCGGCGGCTCAGCCCGCTCCGGCTCCGGGTCTGACTCTGGCGGCGGCAGCGCTGGAGACTCGGCCTGCGGAGCCCCGCCCCTTCCGCTTCCGCCCTGGCGCGCACGTTCCCCGCCCGCGCATGACGTTATATCCCTAGTAACCGCGGTGGCGGCAGTGGCGACCCGGCTTGCCTTAAAGGGTCAGGCGCACGTGTTCCGGCCCCCGGGAGTCCCCGTAAAGACCCCGCCTCATTGGGCGCGGGGTCTCCGCTGGGCACCTCCTGGAGGTATACAGGCTGGCGTTCCAACCTCGAGCCCCCCTCATCTCCCGCTGCCCCCCGGTGGGCGTTTGCGGCGGCCGCTAGGGGCGGGGCAGGTGGCGAGACCGAAGCAGGGGATTGTCCCCTGAGCCACGCCGCAGTGACGTCAGCCCGAGCCTACTGCAGGGGCGGGCTTCGGCGGGAAGACCTCTCCCCCTGCCCCGGGAGAAAAGGACCTAACCCTACGCTGGGGAGGGGTGTCTGATCAGAGCATTTTCCCAGTCTTAGGGGTACAGGACCCTGCCCTGGAAAGGTCTAAGCGGAGGAGGGATATGGCCCTGCCCTTGGGGGGTCGGATGTGGGGGCGATGTGGTCCTGCCTTGGGACCTGGTGTTTCCCTGGCTCGGCCCACAGCCTCCCCCTCACGTCACCATCCTCTGCCATTCCTGAGCCGGGATTCGCGCACACACGCCCCGTCTAAAATTACCCGGACCCTCCCCCCGCACCCAAGCCAACGGATCGCGCGCTCTTGTCCGCGGCGTCTCCCGGTACGGTCGCTGGGTGTCGCTAATGTCTAGCCAAAGGCCCGTGCTTCAGCCCCAAGCAGCCGGGGGACGGGAAGGGGATCGTGGAGGTGCGGATGGAAGCTTTCCTCGTGGTGGTACTCTAGAATCGTTCGTAGCCCCTCCCCTTCGGTCTGGAGCCCCCTTAGTTGGCCGGGACTCTAAAGACTCCATTACTGCGAGTTTGGGCGACCCCAGCTGCACACTTGCGTGCATCCCAACCTTCGTTTCGATACTGGGATAAAAGGCCGTGTTGCAGCCTAGGGCCAGGATTATCTCAGATTAAAGGGCGTTCCGTGGGGGCGGGTGGGATGGGAGGTGCTCCGGCCCCTCGAGTGAGGGGCGCTTTCTCCCAGACTAGTGTTTGAGAGGGTGTTTGGAGAGAGGGGCTGGAGGGAATGGATTAAAAGACTCGAGATGGGGGGATTCCCCTGCCCAGGGAAGGGGAGGGGCCATCCAGACAAAAGCGCCCGCCCGCTGCCTCCCCTCCCCCTCGAGCATCTTTCAAACCCGCGAGTGGGCGGGCGGGGGCGGGGGAGTCCCCCTCTCCTCCCCCTCTCCCTGCTGGCCAGGCTGTCCAGCATCTCAGCGGCCGTCAAGGCCCGGGCACGCGCGCGCACGGACCCACACCCCAGCGGGTCTCACAGTCGCGCACACACACATACACACACAACAGCAAACAAAGGGTCTGGACACCCCTGTCCCCTCCCGCCCCTCAGGTCGGAGAGGGCGGGGCATCCCCTCCCCAGCCCCTCTGCAAGGTAAGCTTCGGGGCTGCGAGCTGCGGTGGGGAAGGGGACCCGGCACCCCGGAGGGAGGGGACCAAGACGCTGTGGGGTTCCCCCGCTCCCCAAGAAAGCCGGGGCTCACCGGTACGCCCTTTGAGGGCTTCAGGCCGGCCTCCGGGCTGTTGGTGTGCGGGGAGGACCCCAGATGCCAGAGATTCCCGGGTTTCCGCGGAGGTCTTTCCCTGGCTTCCGAGACTGGAGCCGACGGGCCCCTGTGAAACGGGGTCCTGGGAGCCTGAGCTCCCAGAATTGGGGACAGGGCGCCGGAAGCTTCCCCATCAGCGCCAAGACTTTCCTAATCTGCCAGCACAGCATGTCCACCTGGGTATTGAGACAGCCCTCTGAGTCGCTTTGCACCGACCCTCGGTTTCTCACACCACCACCATCGGCGCATCTTCTGCTGTGTCTCGCGTACCTGTGAGGTGGGGGTGGGCGGCTGCTAGTGGTGCTCTGGACTACCCAAGCTTTCTCTGCTGCATCCCACAGCCACACACTACTTAGCAGCGGTGGGACCCCGGCGTGGGCTTTGCCTCCCTGAGCCTCAATTTCCTCTTCTGCAAAGTGGGTAACGACACCGAGGATTCCCTGAGGTCATGCATGTGAGCCTGCCTTTGCTCGGTCAATTAATTTCTTAGCTCATTTCACACATATTTCCAAGCGCCTACTATGTGCCCCAGCACTGCAGCCAGGCGGTGGGGCTATAGTAACCAGCAAAAACAGCCGGCTGTTTGCTGTGCTTATACCTGAGGCTGGTGAGGGAGCAAGATCAGTGTGTAAATCGAGGAATACCCACTGGTGATTTGAGACTGTAAAGACTAAAATCTCATAGGGCATAGAGAGTGACTGGGGGTAAGGGTGCTCGAGATGGAATGGGTTTTCTGGTTGGTATCTGCCTTATTCATTCCCTTCATTCAGCTGAGGGAGGGCCAGGGCCAGAACAGTGCCTGGCACACGGTAGGTGCTCAATAAATGTTGAATGAATTAGGGTATTAGATCAAGACTAATTTCATAGTACTTTAGGTCAGGAAAGAAGCTTATCATGAGCCAATCCATCCTCCCTCCCATTGTACAGATGGGGTAAGTGAGTCCCTAAGACCTTCTCAAAAAGTCCCTAAGAGCTTGTCAAAGGCAATACAGGGAGTTGATGGAGTATCATCATTCCCATAAAGTGAGCGTGGCTGAAGGAAAGGGAAAGGAAGAAAGTGAAAACCAGATTTGAGCACAGCACCACCCCCCCCCCCAGGAACCAACGACGCACAGCCAGCTCTTGCCTCTCTATACCACAGACACAGCCCTACTGTGATGAATATCTACTCAACGAGCATTTATTCAGCACCGACTACTATATGCCAGTTGCTGGTGACAGCAGGGAACAGAACAAAACTCTGCTCCCACAGGGGTGCCATATAATGGAGAAGACAGAAAAAGAAACAACACAAACAAATAAATATATAACAGATTATGATTAGGACTATGATAGAAATAGAAGGCTGTGTCAAAAGAGCAAAATGGAAGGGCCCACTTCAGGTTGGGTATCCAGGAGGACCTCCTGGAGGAGTTGACTACTCTTCAAACACACACACACACACACACACACTTAAATCCAGATGGACATAATCATACTAAACAAACACCGTATACGAGGCACGTCAAGTCTCATTCCTACATAGGTATGGTCTGGTTTCAGCTGTGCAACACTCACAGACTCACAGAAAGTTCCACCTGCTCGGCGGCACACGGACAGCTGTGTATACTCTCATGCACACACACATGCATATACACACACATGCCTGGGGCCCCTGATTATCCTTCCTGGCCCTGCTTTAGCTCCAGGCATAGAGCTAGATAGTAACTATTCCCTCTCAGGCCTGAATGCTCAGGACCAAGGTGTGGATAAGGGCATTTATCCTTACCTCTCTCCCTCTTGTTGGCCATCCAGCCTGGCATCCTTCTTCTGAGGTTGGTGGCTTGGGTGAAGCCAGTGCTTTACTGACAAGCCAGGCCAGGGGCTCCCAGGCTGGGCCACTGGCTGATTGAGCTGACAAGCTGGGGTAAGGGAGACCGCCTCTCTCTGTGCCTGAGCCTGGTGGGCCTTGTTGTGAGGACGAAGTGAAGAGCTGCCCAGAGCAGCCTGCTCTGCCATCTGGACCCCCCTCCCCAGCCGGCCTGCTGCCCAGGGGAAGGGAAGGCAGGCTTAGAGGCACCCCTCTACCTTGGGCACTCAGGCCAGTTCATGATGCCCTGCCTTCCAAGCCTGGGGTTCTGCCAAGGCTGATTTCTGCAAACGTGCACAGGTGTCCGGACAGCGGCGGTGTGTGTGTCTCTGCCCCTCTTCCCTGGATTGCAGGCCTCTGCCGGCCATCCACTCCTCCATTCCTTCCTTTATTCTGCAAATCCATGGGCTGTTCCAGGCACTGGGGATCTGGCTACAGAATTTGAAGAGCCCAGGGCAAGGGGAAAATGCAGGGCCCTTGATCAAAGTAATGAAGCATTTCAAGACAAGGGCAGGGCGTTAAACCTTCTAAGCACGGGGCTGTGAGGACTGCACAGGTCACATGTCTGTGAAGTTGGTTCTCTGTATACCTAAAATCAGACTGAAAAATCCCCTGCCCTCGTGGAACTCAGGCTGCAGACAGCAGAAATGTAAATATATGCTATGTCAGGGATGTTGACAGTTGAGAGGAAAGATAAAGCTGAGTGAGGGTGATGCGGTGGAGGGAGGCATCTGTATCAGGTAAGCCCTCTGGAATGAGGTGCCTTTGAGCAGAGGCCTGAGGAGGTAAGGGCGTCAACTCGATTTATTCGTTCTTTCAAGAGATATATGTTGAGCGCCTACTGTATGCCGGCATTGTCCTAGGACTGGAGAGCCAGCTGGAGACAGAACAGATCAACATCCTGAACTCAAGTCCTAATCAAATGATGAGCAACAGCTCATAAAAATAGTAGGTACATTCTTTTTTTTTTTTAAAGATTTTATTTATTTATTTGAGAGAGAGAGAATGAGAGAGAGAGCATGGGAGAGGGGAGGGTCAGAGGGAGAAGCAGACTCCCCGCCGAGCAGGGAGCCCGATGCGGGACTCGATCCCGGGACTCCAGAATCATGACCTGAGCCGAAGGCAGTCGATTAACCAACTGAGCCACCCAGGCGCCCTAGTAGGTACATTCTTTATCTTGTTAGAATGTTACAAGTCTAAGAGAAACAAACAAACTGAAAGCAGAGTCAAGGAGATCAGGAAGTGGGAGGAACACGATATCTGAGACTCGTTTTTTGGGTCAATGAGAACTGCAAGTACAAAGGCCCTGAGGTCTGAATATGCTTGAAGTCTTTGCAGAACGGAGTCAGCTGGTGAGTCTAGGGGGAGGATGGGAGGAGGTGAGGTTTCTGTGAATGTGTTGCTGTCTTCCATGTCTGTCTATAGCTCCATGTGAGGTCAACAACAATGATGATAATTGTTATTATTACTAGGATGGTGGCTACTGTTTTGTGAGCACCCACTATGAACCAG